CAACGAGTCATCACACCGAGAATGACTCGGACGAATCACAAGTCGAATCAATGATCATGTTCGGTCGAACTTCAGAACGGATTTACTGCCATCAGATCGCGACTTACTGCAGAATCAGAGTTCTCACTAACGATCACAGAAGAGAACCGACAACGACCGGCGCTGGCCCCACGGAAAGCCAACACGGGGTGATCCCCGGGAGGGCGCCAGACGGCTCGGAAAGCCAAGTCACGAGGCGGGCTCACGAGCACCAAGGTGCTCGGTGGCGCGACGCCACCAAGTATGGCTCGGCGAGCCACCTAAGTGGCGTCGGTGGCCGAGCCACCTTGGGTGGTCGGCCACCTCCGAGCCGCAATATGTGGCTCGGGAGGCGAGTGCCACTCTAGGTGCTCGCCAGTCCGAGCCCCATCTTGGGTGGCTCGGAGGCGCGAGCCGACCTCCTGGTGGTCGCGGCCACCAAGGATGGCTCGCCAGCTGCACCCCGGCCTTGAGCACGAGTGCTCGGTGGCGACCAGCAAGGTGGCCGCCGAGCCACCTGCTTTGGTGGCGTCGGTGGCCGCGCCACCAAAGGTGGCTCGGCTAGTGCCGGCCACCTCTGAGGTGGGCCAGTGCCCGACTGCCGCGGTTTCTCTTTGCGCGGGCACCTGTCTGAAGCCTTAAATAGGCCTAGGAGATGTTCATGTTTCGGGGTCGAATTTCAAGAGCCGAACTTTGCCGATTGGAAAGAGCAAACCTCAGAGTTTGAAGACTTGAAATTGACATAGACAATCTGTCTCGCGCCATCACCGTCAAAAAGGCAGGATCTCGAGAGGAAAGAAAGAACAGATCTGAGATTAACAGGTAATCGATACTCCAGATCTAAGCTTGGTCTTAGATCTCAGAGATCGCGAGGATTATTCCCTTGGTGGATTAATCCTCCCGCTATTATCTTCTGGAATAATACCCGCATAATCGTGTAGATCCGACGATCTAAGATCGCCGCGTGGTCACCGGCAAACAACCCGCGGCGGCAGGCAAAGACCACCCAACGAGCGGCCTGCAAAACCATGACTCGGCGATTTGTTCACAAGCAGAAAGCTTGTAATTTTTACTTTTGTTTCTTCTTTCTTTGATTGAGTTGTAACGATCTATAAAAGACCGATCTTTGTAATCCAAGATGACAATTATCTCATTAATGAAGAAAGCAACAGTTTTCCACGCGAACAACAATAAGCTCAATGTGGGTGTGTGTAACAATAAGGTATCAAATCTAAATTCAATATAAAAACTAGTTTTAAAGAATGATAATCAAAACAAATATGCAAATGTAAAGCTAGATGTGAGTTTAGAAATTCTTCTCTGAAAAAACAAGATGGAGAGATGGATTAAGATGAAACCCAAACAATGTAGATGATCTCCTCCACTTGTGAAATAGTCTTCACAAACCAAACTCTTTTAAAACACACAAAACAAATTTTAAAACACTCGTTAAACTTGTTTAAAACATTCTCATTGTTTACTCTGGTATAGAGGGGTTTGAGGGTTTATATAGGAAGAGAAACCAACAGCAAAAACCCCAATTAAAAGACCAAACAACCCACAGAATCAGAAATCAGATTCTGTACAAATAGAGCTGTTGGGCAATCGGCGGTCGACCATGGAAAACTCACGGTCGACCGCAAGCAACAAAATAGCAAAACTACGGCTCAGGACAACACCCGGTCGACCGCGGCGGTCGACCATGAAAACTTATGAACAGACGATCGACCATCACGGTTGACTGCAAAAGTTTCTGGTGGATCCTGAGGGAAAAACATTGGCGCGGTCGACCGTGGCGGTCGATCGCGAACTGATACATGAAAATACAGGTTTTGAAAGTTGTTTTTTGATTTTAAAACACTGTTTAAAAATATCAAATAAATTCCAAAAATTATGAAACTTTGGAAAATGATTGTAGACATGATAATACACATGCTACAAAAACTGGTTTTTAAAAAGGACCTTCCAAATGTAAAATATCATCATTTTACAAAATAGTCCAAAACATAAAAATGTAAACATATGAGTTTTGATATTTTAGCTTAACCATGTTTTGAAACATTACAAAATAATTTTATAGACTTAAAGAAAGATATAAACTATTGTTATGATGTCTATAAATAATGAATATAGTATTTTCACAATACAATAGAATATGAAACATATGAGTATGTATATGAATATATTTTTGTTTCATATCTATGAAATTAAACCAAACCACCTTATCCATGATAAACATAAAAACAAACATGTAGAATATATTTAATTTTATTTGCCTTGTAAAAACCTTTTGTTGTGCATAAGCCAAACCAAAATGTGTGTGTGTGTATATATATATATATATAAATCATATATATATATATAAATCTATACTATATATATAATATATATATATATATATATATATATATATATAATAAATTATATAATATATCACATCACACACACACACACGACACATAGAATAACCTATAAATGGTGTGTAATATATGAGCTTAAAGTACCAACACACATAATATAACACCTAAACTAAATATTATCCAAGCAATATTGATCTTCAATAAGCTTGAGTTGGTACGCTTGTGGATGAAGCTTGAACTTGAATCTTTAACTCGAATTGCATAGGCTTCACTCCACAATTCCGCCAACCTCCATTTGATATGATCGTGAATGCTCGATTCCATCCATCTTCCAACTCATTATTTGTCTATAATAAATAGAAGTACACAAACACTAGACAAATAACATTAGTGGTAAATTGTTTGTTAAACATCATCAAAACAAAGAGGCCAACATATATATGTTCTCAAAACAAACCCCAAAACACAGAAAAATCCACTAAAAACAACACAATCCCTGAAAATCAGGAAATCTGGAATATAGCCGTTACAGTGCTGTTGATCGACTGATGCACTATTCAATCGACTGATGAGCTAACCGTTGGCTGATTCTAGGAAACCATCAGTCGACTGATGCAAGCCATCGGTCGACTAAAAACACTATTCAGTCGACTGATGGAGATCGGTCGACTGAGCAGAAACTTTTCAGCAATTGCAGAGTAGTTCATCGGTCAACTGACGAACAATGTCGATCGACTAAAAACATGCACAATCTAAAAACAGAATTTGCTGAAAACACTATTCACAACACTATTCAGTCGACTGAAAACAGAGGATATTTGTGCAGATTACCTAACAAAACAAATGCAAACACTCGACACACGATGTTAGGAATTGTTTGTTAATCATCAAAACTAGATTAGATAGTAGACTCAGAAACATAAGACCTAACATAAGATGCCTTGCCCTACTTTTTCCATCAACAAAAAGAATAAAAAAATAAAAAAATAAAAAAATAACCATTATGAAAATATGATTACAAACCTAAAGAATATGTAGGCTAAATATGAGAAAACTTTACTTTTAGATGACCTCTTGTAACTTTTGAACAACACACCCCCACCCCAAAGTCAGAAAGCCCCTTTTAAGTTTGAATTTTTATCATGAAACCAATTTGCTTGTCATCAATCTGTTTACACTCCTAACAAATACGAAGGTGGAAGTAAGAAACTTTCCCAAGTTAATTGAAGTTTACAGTCCCATATTGACATTTTATTTTTAAAATTTTCATCTAGCTGTGTAACTTAGTGAAGGTCTTGTAAATCTTTGCTTTTGATATGGTCCCAAATGGTTTCGTATTTTCCTTTTTCCCATGGTAAATAACTCAATGATTATTATATTACAAAGTCAATGACGAGTAAGGTCATTCCCTTTTATTTGGCCCTTCTACAACATAGAATAAGTCCAACAACCCACGTATTAATTATTTTATCCTTGCATTAAACTCAAACATCTATTCAAAGCACCTTTTTTAAAACTAGACCCATTGTGATATTTGTGATATTTATTTACATAACTTATCCTCGTACATGTACTAGTTTTGGTAATAGCATGAGTATATGATTGCAATGTGGTCAAACAGGAAAATGCTCATCTCCAAATACAACGAAACAATATGGAATCAACCTTCTAATTTGTGCACCAATAAGTTGCTTCCATTCTTTCAATGCTCTGCAGCTAAAACTATACGATATACATAATATTTTAAGTTACTTATAAAATTTTATTTGTTCTTTTCATGAGAATAATGTTTATGCTTAGTATCAAACACAAATTTGATATTTGGTAGTAATATACATGTTTCTCATCTAGTCATTTAGGGGTTGTTTGGATTGATTTTTTAGATAGATAAAAGGGTGGAAAGCTACCAAAAATGTCAGCTTTTTGGCAGCTTTTCCCCAAAATCACCTTTTATAGAAGTGATTTTTGGGAAAAACTGTCAAAAAGCTGACATTTTTGACAGCTTTCCCCTCTTATACCTATTTAAAAAATCAATCTAAACAGCCCCCTTAAAAGGTGTCCATTTTCAAATGATCCTCATTTAATTATAGGTCCATTAAATAAATAGAGTAGAAGTGATCCCATTACTATCAAACACGATGCATAATACCAATCATACCTATTATTCTCTTGCAAAATATATCTATATGATTTCTTCTTGATTTATTACATTATAAACATGTTGTTATTGTTATTATCGATTATGTTAAACTTGTCCGTGGCAAAAGTGTATGGACACGCTCTCCTGTCTCTGCCCACGGCAAACTTTACCTTTGTGACTCCAACGTGATGCGAGTCAATCCCTAGCTGTTCCTTTCAAAAACTGTATTACGTGTCACCATTCCATTAGTTAGTCCCGTCTATGGTGTTTTGTCTTAAACACTCGATTACAACCCGACACCTCGAGTTGAAATCGGGATGCTCTCACCCCTCAATAATCCCAAATCCGACCAATTGCTTGCTACATGGCGCTCCCAAAACGCCCGGTCTCTTCACCTTCCGGTGGTAAGCATACCGCTTTCTCTCTACTCACTTTCTCTTACCTCTCTCTAAATTATAAAACAAAAATCATTATAAAACGCTGCTCTTTTTCCACTTACTGTTTTTTGGCTCTCGAGATTTGAAGTGAAGAGAACGCGAAGGCGAAACAAAGAGATAGAAGTTGAAAAATTTTAGGGTTTCGTTTTCTCTTAAATCGAGATCTGAGATGTCAGATCCGTTACTTGACAGCGGCGATGGGCTGACGGCGGCGGAGTCAGCGCCGTCGTCGAAGGGGGAAGGGAAGTCGAGCTCGAGGAGAAGACTCGCGATCCGAAAGAGTTTGGATGCGGATGAGTTCATTAATTTGCTGCATGGTTCGGATCCAGTTAAGGTCGAGCTCAATCGATTGGAGAATGAAGTTCGAGGTCAGAATGCGATTTGATCTGAGCCTGTTTTCTTGCGTGTCAGAATATTTTTTTAAAGGGAGAAAATGGTTTATTTGAGCGATTTGGCTTTGGGTTTGATTTTTTATTTTCGATTTTTTTTTGAATTTTTCAGACAAGGATCGGGAGTTGGGGGAGGCGCAAGCGGAGATTAAGGCGCTGAGATTGAGCGAGCGCGCCAGAGAGAAAGCTTGTGAAGAGGTAAATTTTTTTTTCGAGAATTGAATGTAGAATGCAGTGATTCTCTGAGATATATTTTTTAAATTTATGAGGATTAACATCTCATTTACTTAAAGTGTCTTATCTTTCAGTAGATGCCCTTATGATTTGAGTTTGACCAGCGCTCTTGATACTTTATAGTTTTAAGATGGGGGCCAGTCAGATCTATGTGAATTCTTTCTTTTTGCTTTTTCCCCCTTTTCTTGAAACAAGCTTTACTCTGATTTATAGATATATATGTATGATATCTAAATCCATTATGGAATTTACTGATGGGATATGTTCATTCAGCCTTGTTTATTGAATGGTGATTATGACCCTTTGATTTCAGCTTAATGAAGAATTGGAGAAGTTGGATGAGAAGCTCAAATTAACTGAAGCCCTACTAGAACACAGAGTATGTCTCAGACTTCCTTGTTGCCTGGTTGTTTACCTCTTTTGCATCAGTGACTGATAGTATTGATGCTACTTGATTGCAGAATCTGGAAATTAAGAAGATTAATGATGAAAAGAAAGCAGCCATGGCTGCTCAGTTTGCTGCAGAAGCTACACTTAGAAGAGTCCATGCAGCTCAAAAGGATGATGACATGCCCCCAATAGAGGCCATTCTTGCACCGCTTGAGGCAGAATTAAAGCTTGCTCGTCAGGAGGTAAATTGTTCTTGCATCCATTTGCTTCTTGCCTCCACACTTTCATGAAATCAAAGTGTTTCTCATTGGAACTATATCCAACTAAGTTAAATAGCTGATATATATGTTAATGTTGAAAATAATGATAATATACTATGTGATTCTTGGCCTTTCCATAACAGGGTAATGCATAATGTAGGTTACATGTTTAGTTATCTTTTACTTCAAAAGATATAAAAATAACATAATAATTTTAACAAATAGGAATATGATTTCCCATTATAAAATATCTTTTAACAGAATAACAAGCTATACTAATTTACTATCAAGTACCACAATAACATCTATTGTAATAGCGTAGCGTTACTACATGTGTGAGTTATATCAAATGTTACATTATGTTCTAACTTGAAAGTTTGTTACGTTACATATAACACAAGTAACTAATTTTGTTTCCACACTAATATGTGTGTGCTCGCACATGTACATGCGGGGGAGAGGGGGTATTACATAAATATCTTGTGAGTAGCTTCAAGGAGTTTCCAGTATTCTGCTTAATCCTGCCTAGTTCACTTCTTTAAAGCGTTATTGTAGTTTAAATGTTCACATATAATGTTTGGTAGTATTTATTATTGGTACTTTCCAATCAGTTTCTAAATGCAAATGAACTGCGTTTTGAGGCATTTCTCAAGGTACACATCATTTTGCCCTTTTGCATGAGGCCTGTGTTTCATTAACCAAATAAAGATGAGATCTCTGTAGCTAATTGGAAATATATAGTTGGTTGAAGAGCATATTGTTAGAGGGAACAGTAAAAATGCCAAATTAATTAAACTTGTAAACATTGCTAGATTAAAGATTGCCTTCAAGTACATCTACTTATTTGTTTTCCTTTTTTCTTTTCCTCTCAATTTGAGAATAGTTAAAGATTCTTAAGATGAAAATGATGAAAACTATGCCTTAAGACTCTAAGCTTTATGCCTTTCCTTCATAAAGGATTTTTATGATTCACCTCGTGCCTTCTTTTTGAACATTGTTTCATATGCTGAATAAATTTTGTTACTCTTGCTAAGATCCTTTCTTGCTCAAATATTCCATGAACTTTTTTTTTTTGTAATATACTGAATGTTTACGGTCACTGCAAGTAAAGAGTTTCTGTCTCAAGGAGCAAACAAGGATCTCTTTGAGACTTGCGTTGAGTTACTGAGTAGCATAGAACAAGAATAAAGCAGTGTTATTTTTGTAAAGGTCTGTTTCTTCAAACTTAAGGTTCACTGCCACTATGCTATGACTGCAGATCACAAAGCTGCAGGACGACAATAGGGCTTTGGACCGCCTTACCAAATCGAAGGAAGCAGCATTACTGGAAGCTGAAAGGACTATCCAAATCGCTCTGGCGAAAGCTTCGATGGTGGATGATTTGCAAAACAAAAACCAGGAGTTAATGAAACAGATTGAGATCTGTCAGGTAACTACAAGGAAATTTCTCTATTCATGATCACAGAAAGATTGTAATTGTAGGACCAATAGTATGATCTAAATTTACCTTCTCGTCTAGGAAGAAAACAAGATCCTAGACAAAATGCATCGTCAGAAGGTTGCGGAGGTTGAAAAGCTCAGCCAGACTGTGAGAGAGCTTGAAGAAGCTGTTCTTGCTGGTGGTGCCGCTGCAAATGCTGTGAGAGACTACCAGAGGAAAGTTCAAGAGATGAATGTAACGTATCTTTGTTTAGTAAAAGACTCAGAAAATATCTTGAATCTATCATTTCCATCTTTTTTATGAGAACTCATCATTCTAACTAAATTCTCTTTCTAACTTGATCATTGATTCTTTAAATGCACATATTTAGGAAGAGAGAAAAACTCTTGACCGAGAACTAGCCCGTGCAAAGGTTTCAGCTAACAGAGTCGCAGTTGTAGTGGCAAATGAATGGAAAGATGCTAATGACAAAGTAATGCCTGTTAAACAGTGGCTTGAAGAGCGGAGATTCATGCAGGTAGGTTTTAATGCCACAACAGATTATTATCCATAAGTTTTCATGGTATGCCAGGCTCTATGCTGCTCTGGCCGGTTTTTTCTTGTTACACCTTTCTCTTCAAGGTTGTAGATTTAATCCATAGTAAGAGTGGGACTCATACTAACTTCTCTCTTAATACATTGGTATAGGGAGAAATGCAACAACTACGAGATAAACTTGCTGTTGCGGAACGTACTGCAAGATCGGAGGCCCAGTTAAAGGTAAAGTAGACTGCAAAAACTCATCAATGCTTCACTCTATTTGAAATAAAAGGAAAGAAAATTCTATGTGTACATATTTGGCATCTCAGGATAAATTTCAGTTACGACTTAAAGTCCTTGAAGATGGCCTGAGGATGTCTTCAAGTGGTTCAAATCGCTCCACTATAGATGCGAAGAGTATGAGTAATGGTTCTTCTCGTCGCCAGTCACTTGGAGGAGCTGAGAATATATCAAAATTATCTCCAAATGGCTTTCTACCCAGGAGATCACCATCATTTCAAATTAGATCATCACTTTCTAATAGTACTAGTACTGTACTGAAACATGCGAAAGGGACATCAAAATCATTTGATGGTGGAACTAGGTCACTTGATCGGGGTAAGATCCTTGTAAATGGGGCCGCCCATTCACTCAACAGATCTATTGATGGCACCAGAGACAATGAGATACCCAGTGATTGGAAGGAAAATTCAGATGAAAAACCATCTGAGTCGACTAATGCAGACACTGAAGATACTGTTTCTGGAATGTTGTATGACATGTTGCAAAAGGAGGTAATAACCCTAAGGAAAGCATGCCATGAGAAAGACCAAAGCCTGAAAGACAAGGACGATGCAATCGAGGTAAATTCTGTTTTGGAAGTTGTAATCTCAAGGCTGTTGCTTTTATCTGCTGGCCTCTCCCCCCAACCCTGTCCCATCCTTCCCAATTCCCATACATTACATTTCCCCTTTGTTGTACAGATGTTAGCAAAGAAAGTGGATACTCTAACTAAAGCAATGGAAGTGGAGGCCAAGAAAATGAGAAGAGAAGTAGCTGCTATGGAGAAAGAGGTAGCTGCTATGCGAGTGGAGAAGGACCAAGACAACAGAACTAAACGACTCGGCAGTTCCAGGGTTCCTGGAAATGCTTCTCAGCTACTTCCTGGGAGGTAGGTTTAAAAAGCAAACCTTTCAGTGATAGTAATCATCGTAATAGGAAAATTAGTGTGTAATCAATTGCATAACATTTTCAGATTTCTGTTTTGATTTATTAATTTGCATGTCTTTGTTGATGCTACAGCTGCTAGATTGAGATTTTTTTATTTCTTCCATGACATATTAACTGGGTGATTGTTGATTTTGTATCTCATCATACTATTGTGTCCATGACTATAGAGTTGTCTTCGGGAGCAGCTCTAAGTCTTGATGATGCTGAAGACTGAGTATCAGAACTTATGAATATATGGTCACCTATATTCGTTACACAGTTTATCTTGTAACTGAAAGAAAAACAAGGATTGAACTTTAGCTGATGAATTTTGGATTATGGTTCTGGGCATTTGGCATTGGTATTCACATTTTAATCTCTGCTAATTTATTTGGGTTTGTATTTTGTTTATACATATCCTTAAAGAAAAAGATTAAGAGAATAGTGTCCTCTCTGAAGACATCCTTTTATCTCAATACAAAATCAATGATAACCGTGGAAGCCATTGTCGATAACAACAATAAGTCAGGGTACAACTATTTTGGGATTGTTTCCTTCTAGACTGCAAATGCATTAAAGCTTCAATAATACCAAGCTGAACACCCTTCAAATCAAGTCTGAAATTCAACTTGTGTTTTCCTTGCCAACTTTTAATTATGGACCAAATGAGGGGAAATCCTGTATAGGGATATTTAAGGGGGTTTTCTTTCTGCGAGATTTACACAGAAATTAATTTACAAACAGTTACGCAGGGCTTTTCAATATGTGATTTTCAAAACTTCATCGAGGTCTCTCACACACACACCCTGAAAACCAAAAATTAACAAGGTACTATACAAACTGTAAGTTCTTTGCATACCCTTCTGGGGTAACTTTGGCAATTAGTTTGTCCTAATTCATGTCAGTTGCAAGATATTCATGCAAAGCTCTTCTTGTAAGATTCACTTGATATAATGTACCTATATAGTACGGTAACAAGGATAATGCGTTTTTTGTTCATTATTTATTTGTAAAAAGGATTGTTATTGCTTTACTGTGTATTATTGGTAGGTGCTAGGTTGAAAAATTCTAGTAGGATAATTGGATTATGGCCATTAGGCTAATCCATCTGGATCCACATAGACTCTGAAGTAATAACTTCATTTGAGTTATGTGGCTCAACATACTAGTCATTTCTAATTTTTGGACTAAATGACACCTCATACCAATTTAGCTAAACCAAAACCGCACTTGACACTGAATGAGTATGAGACATTGCTTATAAGTCTCTACCTTGGCTCAAATCAGTTGAGCCTAACTCAGGCCTAACACATCAATTTAGTGGATAATACATCATTTAGTGTATAGCACATCAATTTAGTGGATAATAAAGATGATATCTCAAGCAGTGTTCTAAAAAACGGCCTGGGCGGCCGCCTAGGCGCCCGCCTAGGCGGAGGCGGTGCTCAGGGCGTGCAGAAATGCCCTGAGCGGCCACGTTTAGGCGCTGGAAGCGCCTAGGCGGCCGCCCAAGGCTAAGCGGGCCGCCTCACAATTTAAATAGAAAAAAACGAAAATCCAAACCCAAAACCCGTAACCCAAACCCAAAACCCAAAACCCAAAATACAAACAAAGAAAAAATAACCCTAATCTAACTCTCCTGACGCCGCCAGAACCTCAGAGCTCTCGTCTTCGTCCTGGGCGTCCGATCTCGTCTTCGTCCTGGGCTTCCGATTCGTCTTCGTCCTTCGCTTCCGATCTTGGCTTCGTCCTTCGCTTCCGATCTCGTCTTCGAGCTCAACTTCCGACCTCGTTCTCATCTCGTTGCCAGTCAGCTTCATCTCTATAAGTAAAGGACTAAACTTATTATCTCTATCACTATCATATGCTTATATTATATTAAGTTTAATTGTTTAAGTTTAAACTGTAAATCTCAGAATTTTGAAAGAGAAAGTAAATATGTAATCATGGGGCTGTTTAATTGTTTAAGTTTAATTTTAAGTTCATTTTAAGTTTATAAGTAATTCTTGTTGTTCAAGGTTGTTCAAAGTTTAATTGTTCAAAGATTACATTTGTCCAAAGATTACAACTGCATTTGTTCAAACTTCAAAGATTACATTTGTCCAACAGGACTGTATTTGTTCAAAGATTACAACTGCATTTGTTCAAAGATTACAAGTTTACAATTGTACATGGATCACCGCATTCACCTTGTAGTGATAGTTGCAGCAATAACGAATGAAGTTGCTGTTTTTGAGCGCCTAGCGTTTAATGTAACATTGATCTCAAGTAACACTTTATAGACAAATCAAATTACAACAGGAAATTGTGACGTCTCCATCCAAGTAAACCTTAATACGTATTGTATCAAACAACATTTGTGCGTAACGTTGACCTCAAACTAGTAAGGTATAAAGCAAGCATCCATTGAACCATAAACTCTAATATCAATTTATTTTGTGAAAAGCCCAAGAACAAACTCTAAAGAACCTATTTATCAGTTCAAACATGGACAGCTTTTAATCATGATCTTCCCAACGTCAGGCCACATGACACTTTTTTGTTACGTCAAATCCCAAAAAAGGAAAACAAAATGGTCAGGCACAAACACAAAATTATTGAGAAGTGTAAGAAGAACAAACATACAGAAATAATGTGGTTTGGCCTTCAGCATATATCCTCAAGATGAGTACAATATTACTAATCAAATTGCGAGTGTACACAAGGCAAGGGAACACTCTTAACTCTAATTACAAATACACATCCCAATCCTCGGGTAGGAAATATCTCTGAAAGAAAACTCCAAATTTGTCACTTGTCACTAAACAAAGGCAGTATAAAGAGAGAGAGTTGGTTTATGTATAGATACATCAAACCTAATTATGGAATAGTTAAGATTTCTTATTCTTTTCTTCTCTTTTTTACTTATTTCTGTTCTCTCTGAATAAGGATCTAGCTACAATCAGAGAACCAAACAACTCCAATTAGAGAATCAAATAGAAGGGCGTCAAGTATGGCACACAACAGTCAAGTTCTGACCAGAACATATAATTGGAAGAGTCTTTGTCAATATTAATTGGATTATTTAAAATAACAGTCTGCTGCACAAGAACAATGACACCCTTCTTATTAATGTCCTAGTTCTACAATAAGAAGTTTTTCCAATTGATGTGCTTCATCCATTCATAAATTTTTTTATGTTAGCTTGGTATTACTTTGATTGTAACAATAAATGAAGTCAACTCTTATGTTTTAATTTGAGCCTTTCAAATAAACCTCTCAACCAAAATATCTTCCTTTATATCTTAGTAACTTTATATATATTCCATATTCATGATAGGCAATGCAATTGTCATATGTAAACTAGCTTTCCAACACGCGCTTAAAGAGAGCCTGAAACTGATCTTTCAAGATCTCCCGGAATCAATGTCATCAACACGAATGAACAAATAAATGGAAAAAAAATCATTTTGCAAGCTTTCTGAAATACATACAGCTGTTAGTACATCCAATATTGACTACAAAAAGAAAAAGTTAAGACTTGGAAGATTGTTGAGACCATATAAATACTTCTTTCAACAGTCAAAGACATTCGTCATGGCCTTCAATTTCAAAACCCTTTGGTTAATGCATATATATCTCTTCATCTAATTCGACATAAAGTAAGCCAATTTTTGTATCAAAATTTTCTAAATCCAAATCATGCATAGAAATCAAACCCATAAAGACGAAAGTAGATATAACCTTCACAATAAAAGGAAATTACATTATTAAAAACTAACTACTTTTACTTAGTTGCACCCTTATACAACCATCTCATGTATCGAGCATCTTCCAAAATTTGTGACTTGTTATTTCTTTTTGAACTCATCAGCAGCTGAGTGTCTTATTTCTACGGGTGTATTTATGAGCTCCTATTTTCCGGTTTATGGAAAGATTCAATTATTCATCCTATTTCATCCATAGCAACAGATACTATATGTTAACCAACAACGGAGAAGCAGTTATAAATGAGCAACAATCTAGCAGTTAAACTGAATCTTTCCCAAAATAAGAAGGGCAACAGAAGTATATGAAGAAACTATGACAAATTCTAGCTAGAAATTGCCCTGTAAATCACTGAAAGCACGAATAAAGAAATATAACCAATATATTACCAGGTCAACCTTCTTCTTATAAGTTTAATCCTCTTTTGTTCCAATTTCCATGATAAAAATGGTCAATGAGATCAAGGCTTAGCAATTTGTATAGCACATGGTCTAATGCTTCACAGGTATGCAATTCATAAATCTAGTAATTACATTGTATCTATCTCGTAATAGTTGATTAGGTTCTCTAAAGAAGTTTCTGACAAGAACCTTGTAGATTGAGTTTTACAAATCCTGTTACAGAGACCCACTTAAGATATTATCCTGGCCGTGCGTAGGTTTAATTTCAATCAACATGCATGGTGGGTTGATTACTGCCATGAACCAACCCCTGTCCAAAACCATTCTGGAAATTACAAGGTTGATCCAATCTTCCATCGCATAGAGAGAACACTGGCTTTGCATGGACCAGATCTATCTTCATGGATCAATCTTCCATTGCATAGATAGAACACTGGTTTTGCATTGATCAAATCTATCTTCATAGGCAGCAAGAAATAAATATGTGTACTTGGAGGATCCAAATGAATTATACAATAGAGATGTCAATTTCTCAACAGCAAGTCAGTATCCTGTAACCTGTTTCTTTGTGTGATCTGGAAAGATCATTATAGGGCCTGTCAGGACATGATTTCAGCTAATAAATTGTATCCTCACAGGGTTTTATATCTTAAAAGAAACTTGCAGAAGCCTATAAGGTAGTAAAATTCCTGAATAATTTGGCAGATTGACACTTTCTTTAAGTCCAATGCATTAACAATTTGAACTATTAATAACTTGAAACTTTGGGACATTATGCTCTGCTCTTCTTGGCAGCAAGCATCATCTTTGAGGTCAAAGGTGGATCAAGAATTCAGTTTCACGTTTGTAGAGTGCTTTCATGATACTTTGTCCGTTATGTTCAAGTTGTGTGACAAAGTGCCAGCAGATTTGTGAAGATGGAGCATATCTTTTTTGCTTTAAATATGCGTATAGCAGCTATATATCATTTGATCATAAATTGAAAACTGTTGTGACGCATACACAGGACTGTGGCGAGAAGTGCGTCGATGCGCAACATGTAATGAGAAGCTAAGTGCAACATGTAATGAGAAGCTAAGTGAAGCAGTAATGAGTTACAAGATAGGCTTTGGTGTCTTTTGTCAATTTTCTTTTCTTCCCTCTTTTTTCCTACTCATTGATTTATAAAATTATAACTGCCGGCAAGCCTGTGATAAGCGTGAATATTTTAGGAAGCAAATTTGAACAGATGTCGGTCTAGATGTTACATTGCTGACGCTGCTATAATAAGCGGTGGTGGAAGTGATGCTGAAGTTTGCTAACACTCGAGTCCTTATCCTTCTGATAAGAACTTCCTGCTTTGTTCTATAGATTGGTGGGTCTTTCTCTCTTCTTCCATTTGTAATTTTCAGTTGTGTGATGGATTCTTTTCATTCCCAGGTTGTGAATATTATTGTAATTGCACATGAGCACTCACTTGAGTTGAGTTGTGTTGTGTTGTGTTGCTGTTGACTTCAGTTTGTGTCTTCGTAATGGTGAATCTGAAGGCAGTTGGTGTTTTATATAGGGGTAATTGCGGATATACCCTGTGGTATCACTGTTTGAACATAGTACCTCTCTAGTTTTATCGTTGCAGATAGATTCCCTAAATGGAATTGTTTGAATGCTTGGAACTCGGGGATCTATTTGTCAAAAAACAATTATCTTTCTATAAAGGTACACATGTCACAATGGTCTATTTGCAACAGTAAACTAGAGGTTTAGTAAATTCAAAACAGCGATACCGCAGGGGTTTGTCTGCAATTAGTTATATCCTTTTATATCTATCAATATGGTTTGTTTTTTCGTCCCTTTGCATCATACGTTTGCCGAATAATGGCTTGCTTCTGAGATGAATTTATGAATATTACTGATTTTACATGGAACAGTCAATCTCAATTGGCAAGTTGATCCAGCTAGCTATACCCGTTATGATTGTAAAAGATCATAAAGTGGGTCCAGGTTTCATGTTCAGATGAGTGAAAATGTCTATGTTTTTGTTACTCGGAGCTTAAATTCGTGACATTCTGAGCCTTGTGACTCCCTGCTGCATATAAAAGCAAGGGTTACCACAGTTGTTGCATATTAAGTGTCAAATATCTTTTCGTGCGCTGTGAATACAGTTGTTGCATAGTGAGACTAAATGGGCTCTAAAAAGAAAGTCCAATCTACCGTAATAGATTTACTTTTTTTGTTAAGATCACATTGATCATCTCTTAAGAGCGTTATGAGGTTGCAATGGGCTTGCAAACATAAATTGTTGATTTTGTTATGAGGTTGCAATGGGCTTGCGAACATAAATTGTTGATTTTCTACAAAACGGTGAAAACATAGGAAAAGATCAGGAAAAATGGAGCTGATATACATTCAGGTGTTCTCCGGTGACCGCGAGCTTTGGCACGGTAGACCGACAACGTGCATGACTTAGTACAGATTCTGGATTTTTGGCCGGTCGACCGCGACGATTTTGGTGGTCGAGCGCCAGACGCTGTAATTGAATTTTGGGTTCTGTCGTTCTGTCCGATCGACCGCGGCGTCAAGTGTGGTCGACCGCGATTCGGGTTTGGACCTGATTTTGTTTTCCTGTTTGGTTGGGTTTGCTGTTTGATATAAATTCAAGCACACGTTTTAGGGTTTCTTTGGAGCAGTATTGGGGATATTTGGAGCAGAGAAAATGGATCTTTCTAGAGCTATTGGTTAGGGTTATTGTTTGAGAGATTGAGAGATTTGTTGGTTTGTTTTGAGTGATTTGTAATCTCAGTTTGTACTCTCCTTCTGTATTAGTGAAAACTCATCTCCTTCTAGTCACGTGGACGTAGACAACTTGCCGAACCACGTAAAATTAGTTGTTTGTGTTTGTGCCGTTATTTTGCATCGTTTGGCTTTCTCTCTCGGTGTTTGGTTTGGTTCCTCGAAACATAATGATTGGTGGCTTCCGCGCACAACAAGTGGTATCAGAGCTTGGGCTACGCTTGGGCTAGTTGGAGGAGTAGATCACTTTGGAAGTTCGTCTAGGGTTTCAGTTGGTGATAAATGTGTGATTTTTACTATTGTGGATTTTGTCTACCATCATGTGGGGGTGAGATCTTTTGGAGGCCCTTGTTAGGGTTTCAGTTGGAGGTAAAAATATCTCTTTTTCAGTTTGGATTTATTCTTCGTTTGTTCTGCATTGGTTTGTTAGTGCTTTGATAAAGATGACCGAGAAAGAAGGAGTTGTGGATGGTACTTCTGACGTAAATACCGTCCAAAGTTTGAATATTCACTCTATGAAGATAGATGTAGAGAAATTTAACGACACTAATAATTTTGGTATTTGGAGATGCGAAGTCTTTGATGCGCTCAACACGTAAAATTTGGAGGATACATTGGAGTTCGACGGGAAACCGGACGACATTGAGAAAAAGGTTTGGAAGAAGATGAATCGAACAGCGTGTGGTGTGATTAGGTTTTCTTTAACACAAGATTTGAAATATGATATGGTCAATGAGACTTTTGCAAAGAAGATTTGGGAGATTCTAGAGAGCAAATATTTCACAAAGAGTGTGAAAAATCACTTGCATTTGAAGAGGAGGCTTTATCGCTTCCAATTGAAGAAAGGAACCTCCATTGGTGATCACATGAACCATTACACGAAGCTTCTTACGGATTTGGCGAATGTAGATGTGATGATTGAAGATGAGGACAAGGCATATTATTGTTGAGTTCCTTACCCGACGAGGAATATGAGACCTTCATCCTTATTCTTATTAATGGGAAAGCATCTCTTTCATATAGTGAGATCACCACTGCACTTGTGAATTATCAGCTTCGGAAGAAGGATAATGAGACTTGAATTGAGCCAGTAGTGGGAGCATTGGTCGCAAGAGCAAAGAGTCCAAACCGAGGTAGGAGATCACAGTCTAGAGGGGCCCATCCTGTAGTTGGTAGGAATCGGTGTGCTTTTTGTAAAGAGGATGGACATTGAAAAGCCGAATGCCCAAAGCTGGTTGATCGAGTCGGGAAGAATAAGGGGAAAGCTACTCAAGCTTTAGAGGTGAATATTGTCAAGGCTAGTGGCAACAATTCATATTCGGATTCTTCGGACTATTCATGCCCTGCACACCGTCAGTTTGTGTTACTGACTCTACAAGTGGATGTTAGATTCGGGTGCTTCTTATCATATTTATCCTAGGAGGGATTGATTATCAAGCTTTTAGGAGTTGGAAAGAGGGGATGTCGTGCTCATGTGTAATGATCATGAATGCCCTATTGATGGTATTGGTACCGTTCATATTAGGATGTGTGACGGAGTGATTCGGGAGTTGGATGAAGTGAGGTTCGTTCCATAGTTGAGGAAGAACATCATTTCACTTGGAGTTTTGGTGACAACAGGCTATCGTGTGACCTTAGAGGATACATCTTTGAAGGTCACATTTTGGTCCATGATTGTGATGAAGGACGTCAGGAGGAAGAATTTATATTATTTGATTGGGAGCATGGTGATTGGTAGAGAGCTGACGACTTCTTTGGATTTGGCTAGGCTGTGATGTTTGTTGAGACTGGGTTATTCGGTTATTGGTGTCGTGCATGGATTGTTGAGGAGTGTTTTGACCTGCAGATTGAAGTTCTGTGAGCACATTGGTATGAGCAAGGAGACCGAGGTGGATTTTGGCACTTCTATTCACCAAGCGAAGGGTCTTCTAGGTGGTGTTCATTCAGGCATTTGGGGGCCTTCCAAAGAGACATCATTGGGAGGTAATAGATATTTGGTTTCTTGTGTTGGTGACTATTCTAGGCATTTGCGGGTTGCAACCAAGTCCCGTTGGTGTAAGGTCCTAGTAGTCAACAATAGGTGGAAGAAGTGTATTGGCAGAAAGGTAATACATTGTTCTGATTTTGGTAGGGGTTCTTTTCTGCATTTGTGTCGAGTTCACGATAGTTTGAGATATTTTATTGGAGAGGAAACACTGGGGATACGTGATGAGATGACAGTTTTGATAGGTCGTTCATTGCTAGAGGAGGATCGGCGGTTGATGTCGAGCATTGGTTTTAGTGTTGGAGCTTTGACATATTGGTATCATGTTATTCATAGGTTACCGACTGCTGTGTTTAGAAATTTTGGATCCAGTGGAGCTGCTTCAGATATTGGGTTGCTTCGGATGTTTGGTTGCCCAACATATGGTCACATCAAGGATGTGAGATTTGATCTGAGTACACATTTGGGATTCAGAGGCTCGTTTGGTTATCAGCTGAGGGCCTCTGATTTTGTTCTGAGCAGGTATGTCATATTTGACTCTTGGCAGGTGGAGAGTGTTGATCAGATCGTTGGGATATCGCAGCAGGTAGAGGGTGATGCTACTTCACGTTGGGTGAAGATTACTCCACATACTCCAGATCATACTGCATCATTTGAGATTCCAGCTGAGGTGACACTGTTTGGGGATCATATCGATGTGGATGCTGATGATGAGTTCGTTGATTCGAGTGCAGCTGGTGAACATAGTTCGAATTTTGATATGACCGTTGATTCATTTCATATGGAGGTGTTTGGATCGTTTCACTTTGGGGTCATTGGAAGAGCTATCGGTTGCAGATTTGTTGGTGATGTTAGAGAGGGGTTGAGAACTCTTCTAGTTGACTGAGGGCCTACGGAGGTCATTTGGGTAATTACGTGAAGGCTTGATTCCTTGGGTAAGAGGGTACGTAGGTAGTCATTTTATGATGCAGCTGAATTGGTAAGTTGATACCGATATTTGAAGATTGTTCGCAATCTCATTTTGGTTCCCGACTTGTTGTGGATTGAGTATGTTGTTGTGGATTTGTTTCACCTCGTACTGGACGCAACAAGTGGGACATTTGGTTTGGTTAGTATCAGCTCAGTTTTTGGAAAACTTCATCGAGGTGGAGAATTATAGAAACAGTGAAAACATTAGAGAAAATCAGGAAAAATGGAGCTGATAGACATTCAGGTGCTATCTGGTCGACCGCGAGCTTTAGCACGATCGACCGGCAACATGCACGACTTAGTACAGATTTTGGATTTTTGGCCGGTCGACCGCGATGATTTCGGTCGTCGACCGCCAGACACTGTAATTAAATTTTGGGTTCTGTCGTTTTGTCCAATCGACCACGGCGTCAAGTGCGGTCGACCACGATTCGGGTTTGGGCCTGATTTTGTTTTCCTGTTTGGTTTGGTTTTGCTGTTTGATATAAATTCAAATACATGTTTTAGGGTTTCTTTGGAGCAGTATTGAGGATATTTGGAGCACAAAAAATAGATCTTTTTGGAGTTATTGGTTAGGGTTATTGGTTGGGAGATTGAGAGCTTTGTTGGTAAGATTAGTTGGTTTGTTTTGAGTGATTTGTAATCTCAGTTTGTACTCTCCTTCTCTATTAGTGAAAACTCATCCCCTTCTTGCCCCGTGGACGTAGTCAACTTGCCGAACCACGTAAAATTGGTTGTTTGTGATGTTATTTTGCATCGTTTGGCTTTCTCTCTCAGCATTTGGTTTGGTTCCTCGAAGCATAGCGATTGGTGGCTTCCACGT